CCGGCCGGATCAGGAAAGATTGGGTTAATCTCATTGGTGCACTTCGGAGCTGGTTTTGACGACGTCAGCTTATCTCTGTTGGGGAAAGGCTCTCGGCCTCCGAGATTATGGACAGTGATTGGTTGTTCTCGGAAGTTCCGGCCGCACACTCCGAAGTCCACCAATCATAAGTCTAATTGGCGCACCCCCCACCTCACCCTGGACATATCTTCTGCCAACTTCACCAACCGTCTTCCTGCTCTCTCGACACTCTCAATATATTCCACACAAGAGCTGTTTCTTCAATAGAAACCTGCTACTTATATTGAAAGTTTCTCGACATGGAGAAAACCTCTCTAAACCTGTCGGCGGGCAGCGCGGCCCGCTTCGCGGTAGGTGTCTTGGGATTGATCTGTCATGCAGACCACTTACTCACGCCTACAACCAGTGCGATTATTGTCGACAGAAGAAGTTCAGGTAAATTGACTTTGTTTTTGTCGAAGGTTCTAATGGATCTCCATGACAGGAGCTGATGATCTCATTTGTCAGATGCTCCAAGGAACTTCCCAAATGTAGTGCTTGCAAACCTTGGCCGAGTGCTTGTACTTACTCCCGAGACAAGGAGAGGACACTATCGACGAAAGACCAAACGGCACTCCAGTAAGAAATGTTTTTGGTCGGGTCTTGAATTTTCAGAGAGAACTGACGGCGAGACCTGAAATAGGCCTAAAACCTCCGGCCCGGCTGAAACAAGCAGTACAATCGGTGCCCTAGAACAACGACTCCAAAATATCGAACGATCGATTTTGAACTTGACGAAATCAGTTGAACAGGTTCTGTCTGCCGTAAGCCCGCAAGATTCCACCAATACAGTTTCATCCTCCATCTCCGAATCGGCAACAATGACTGGCAAGGTGGATCAAGTCACCGCCAGCTTAAACGAGGCGCAAGTCCCAAACTTGTTCCTTGGGCCGTCTCACTCATTTTCATTTCTGAAGGAGACGCCAACTCATATAGATGCTGTTTCCAAGTCTCCATCTACTCTTGCCCATCACAATGCATACTCTGAGCTTCGATATCTTTCCAACACTCTTACAACAGCCACTGTAAGCCCGGACACCACGGCCATGAAAGGGTTCCACGTCCCTCCAAAATCAGTCGGGTACCAACTAATTGGCCGTGAGTAGTAACCTATCACGAGTTACACTGAGTTACTGACCATCGTGAAGAATTCCTAGAGCATTCCCCTCTCGGGGAACCCTTCTTCTGCAGCCCATCTGATGACTTGCTGAGACAGATCATCTTCGACCCAGCCAACGTCAAACAAAAGGCTTGGGTCGTGTACGTCAACTACATGATGCTCGCCATGGTGTCAGCCAATGAGAGTGGGGAGAGCGTTGAGGCAAAACAGTTCCGACGAAACATGCGACTGGCTCTCAACGACAGCACCATCTTCCTCGAGCCGACTCTAGCAAATGTACAAGCCTTAGCCCTGCTCGCCCTTCATGGCGAAGACTATGCCTCTCCTAATCTGTCCTGGATGTTGGTAGGCCACGCCTGCCGACAGGCTGAAGCTTTGGGACTGCATGCGTTAACTGATCAGGACTTCGAATCGCGACAACGGAGTTTGTGCTTGTTTTGGCTCCTCTTTGTCGTAGACAAGTCATGCTCGCTTGCGTTCGGGCGGTCATCCTTCTTGCCCATGTCCCTGTACCGAGACGTGCCACTTCCGGATTTCAACTTCATGCTCAAGTTTCAACCGCACAATTCTTCTTCCTTCCGAAAATCCCGGGAATCTACACTGATCTCCACATTTGGGGCGCATCTCCTGACCTCAGGGATGGAAGTTGCAAAGATGATGGAGTACGTATTGGATTTCTTGACACCAGGGAAAAGCCTGCTTCCCAAGGAGACGGTTAGCAGAGACCTTGATGAATGGTATCGGAAAACAATCAAGGTGAGCAACCCTAAATCTGCGTTATAACACGGGTGCTGAAAGATGAAATCCACTTTAGGTCTTGACGGAGATTATAGACGCGGAGCGTCCATGGGTTGAAGAAACGCAGTTGCGTGAAATGTCACTCGGTATCAGCAGTATGAAATTCCAATACCTCCACATAGTGATTCTCCTTCACAAAGGGGACCCCACTTGTGCAAGCATTCGTCTCGAGTCGGCGAGAGAAGCATTATCACTCCTCCCGTCCATGGTCTCTAATTGGGCATCTGTTTACAATGGCGTAGTATGGTAAGAGTCAAACCATGGCCCCTTCTTTAAACTCGGATACTGGAAAGTATATCTTGTACTGACACATTGAATTCAAGGCACCTCCTGTACTACCCGTTCATCCCCTTCTTCGTCGTCTTCGAAAATATTGTTCATGGGAACAGCTTTCAAGGGACTTCTACAGTGGACCAAGATCTTAGTCTTTTGTCCACAGCCGTCTCGTACTTTGCCATGATGCGCGGGCAACTTCGTCTGTTGGCAACAGTGTGCGCTCGACTGGAACACGTCGCGGCTGTCTTCCTGCAACTGGCCCAGGTTCACGTAGGCCAGCGCACCAATGCACAATTCAGTAGCACCAACATGAGTGGACACGCCGATGCGCCGTCTGAGATACCACCCACAAATTTCTTGAGTTACGGAGGCCATGAAGACGTTGCGGCCACCTTGCGAAAGGCACAAGACGATATCGGCACAGCTGCAAATCTGGACCTAGAGAAATTCCTGGATTGGCTTCCTGCCGAGGTCTTACCACCATGGCCAACTGCAGATACCGGGAATCGACATCACTCGGCTTGCCATGTTGCTCCTGATTCAACAGTGGTCGAGGGGGAGCAAGCGCCCAGGGGCCGCAAGCGTACCTTTGATGCGACCTTCGACTGGTTCTCTTGGGATGCATATTTTGCTGATGCCGACTCCCGCCAGTTTCTTCATTAGACTGGATAAGACACTATAGTAGTTGCTGACAGGATACTTGTTAATCAAAACTCACCCTTTGATTGAGCAACCGCACAGAAGGGGGCTTCTCCAGAGAAGTATGACACATATTGAAGGGCCCCTAACGCAGAATCAAAGAATACAATTTCGCTATTGCTAACGCGCTTCTACGTGAGACTTCCTGGGCTTTTACAAAACAATTGCGAGAATGCCATGGAAATCTCAAACCCAACGATCCCTTTGTCTACTTAGGGCAACCAATACCCCAGCCAGTGGTAGTGGAGCAGCAGTCGGCATCCTATGTCACGTTGTCAGTACGATAGCTGAGCGGAACCAGGGCTCTGTGTTAACTCACGCATGTAGCAGAGACTGGCTTGCCATTAAGCATGACATTTTCGCAGAAGTTAGGGCTCTGCTCAGCGCAGTAGGCCTCGCTGGTACCGCGGGGAGTTCCGCCCTTGTTCTGGTTGGTGCAAGCCTTCTGGCCCTTGCCCCAGCAGCAGTTATCGAGGACAGCCTCGCCCTGAAGCCAGCCGTAAATGCGGCACTGCCAAGTTAGAATTTAACTTGCAAAGGTTAAGAAAGGATAACGTACAGAAGAGGCGAGAGCACCGGTGGTGTAGGCAAGGCCGAGAAGAGCGATCTTGGAGAGCTGCATGATGAAGGGATGAGGTGTGTGAAGAAAATTGACAAGTAGAAAGTGGAAAGAGTGAGAAAATAGAGTGAGTGTTGATTGACAGAGAAAGACTGAATATTGAGTGCTGTGAAGTGCTGATAAAAGATCTGACATGGAGCGAACAATCTTCATTTTATAGCTCGGAATTCAGGCGCCCAAACGAAGACATTCTAGACACTTTGCCAAGACGGCCTTCGCTCTCGGTATTCCAAGACTTCCCGGATACCACGGATGTGTCTAGCGACAACAACATTTTCTGCCAGTGAGCAACGTCGCAATCAACATGGCGCGTCTCAAAATGATCGTGTAAACTCAAAAGAAGTTCAATCATTTCAACTGAGGATTTCTAGCGGCTTGCGTAACGCGGCTGAGTCGTCTCAAGCAACGAGACCAGTAGAGCGGGTCTTGCGGAGAGCCGCTATTTACACTTTCTTGTAAGGCGTACGAAAGGAAATATTGGCTGAAATCTTGTCCAATCATTCAGATGAAGACAGATGCCAGACCCTCTGGGTAAGGTTGCTTGGCAGCTCAAACTGAGGCGGCTCTTCCGCAAAGCCGCATAGCGAGGGTCTTGGCAACACATCGAAATAAAGACGAACCAGATCGACGAGTCAAAATAAAGTTTCCCGGTCTTCAACTGCCGTAAACAGTGAAAATGGGAAAATACTACCTTCTAATTAGTGGGCCCGTCTAATGTGCCGAGGGGATCTGTAGCTCCACAGACCACCATGACTCGACCCTAAGCTAGGCAGATGAAATGTACCACCACCATTGCGCCTGTCTCATGACTTCTATCATGACTCGATTCTCGTATATCGGCGAACTGACATGTTGACTAAACAATTGACAGGATCTAGGTCTCGGACAGAAAGCTGTTTCTAATAGGAATCGTCCATCCCACAAATGGCCCTTCTGGACTTTTAATTCGCCTGACAGCGCTGAGGTCCTGTTCACCATGTGGTCTAGGCATCGGCACATCACCGGCGTTTGGCTATGCATCCCTTGCATAACCTCTCCAAAACTTAGAACGCAGAAAGACTCAGGATCCCTTGACGATGTTGTTGATTGCAGTATCTGGCGTTCTCGGTGGGCCAAGGCTAGAGTATCGACTACAGTCAAGGCGATGCTACTGGGGAACCTGTGTTTTTCATTGCGGGTCACCAACTCCATGTTGATGGATGCCACCCATGAATCACTTGGAGGGTGCCGAAGGATGGTGCCTTTGCAGCTGAAACGTCCTTAGACCATCTTTCAAATCCATTTGCAAATTGATATATAACACGAAGTCTCAACCACCTGCCTCATATTCCTCGACAGGTCATCAGTCATCCATCATTCTCAACATCTCACTCGATAACCTTCCTGAAAAGTCATTCACTCGTGTCAACGTTCACTTCTCTCACCAAAATGCAGTTCTCTCACATTCTCTTGGCTGGTCTTGTTACCACCGTTTCCACCGTCATGGCCGCTCACGTATGTGATCCTCAGGGACATGCTTCTTTGAAATCTGCTAACACATTTCAGTGCCGGATCGGAAGCGCTACCCGTGCCGACTGCTGCTGGGGTGGCGAGGATGGCTACAAGTCCTGCTGGCGCCAAAACAAGGACTCGGTATGGACCATTTCTTATATTCCAAGACATCATACTGATGACCTTTCAAGTCCTTCTGCAAGTCCGATTCAGCCAACTACTGCACCAACGTTGATGGTCCTAGCGGAGCCAAGATGTCTACCACTTGTGTAAGTTCGACTTCGATAAAGGTAGGGGATACTCTAACGCAAGTAGGGTGCTGATTGCTGCAACACCCTCAATGGCTGGGGAACTGGCTGCCCCAAATAGATGGTAGATGGCAATTGTTTCTGGGGGTGTTGGGGTCTGAAAGCGTATCACGACGATAGTTTTATTCACATTTAGAAACATGCAATGGACTGTTACATTTTGTCTTCGATCTGAGTTCGCATGGGTTCAAATCAAGAGTCCTCATATGTTGACTAAGGTACTCTGCGAGGTTGTCTGTTGTGAGATGATTGTCCGCGCAATGATGCTGCTAGAGCCGATTTTCTGATAAGAGTTCTCAGTTCTATATGTGCACACTGACAGCCGAAATCAATGCTGCGACAAAAAACCATCTTCTAAGCTTAACTTTACTGTAAATGATATTCGCCAGTCCGTGCTAGAGTTATCAAAGTCTCAATAGGTACTCCACTAAAGGTTCCCAGAAAATAGGCTTTTGGGGCCCGCCTTATGAACCGCCCCCAGACCGACATGCGTGACAGGGATCCTCCCTCCTCGCAACAACAATTGAGGTCCCTTGAAACCGAGCGCGAGCCTTGCTATGTTCGTAACGTGAGAAACGGGGCGAGGGTCTTGGCGATAAGCAGCTCAAACTGTGTCACTTGCAAAGAATAGCATGCAGTAGGCCGAAACAGGCAAGCTAGACAGGTATTAGACAGGTATGGGGTACCATGCCGATCGCGCTCATATTCTCGGCCTGTGCAATATTTCCCGAAAACCTTCGTACCAGAGTGTGAGAAGATCGACACGTCCCATGTGTCAAGATCGGATTGTGGTCCGTGACGGTAAAGTTGAGACAGATGATGATCATCAACCAGATGCTCGGTATTGCTCCACCCTGAGCGCGCATAGCTCGAGTCATATATCCTCGTGTACGAGATACATGCCGGGCCTGTAGCGGAGCGTCTGACATTTGGGCAGACGGAAAGCGCGATACACCGGCAGACCAACGAATTCCTTGGCATTTGTGGATGTTATGTGATTGATTAATCTGCTTCGTGTGCTCATCGTGAAGCGAGGCGTCACAAGATGCACCGCCTTTCCAGAACTGAGTTTAGCTTTCTCATGTTGTCTGGACTACTTTTTGATTAATCACTCCAGACTTGAGTGGGATAGCATCTAGTACTATCGATGAGATTGCATCTGACTCGAATTGCCGAGGCTTCCGAAAGGAAGCAGGAAGTGTCGATGTGGCTTCTAAGACTGGACAACCGTATAAGAACATCTCAATACCCATGGTATTGAGGCTACCTACTCACTCATCATCCGCTCGAGACAACAAAGCATTCTCTATACCTTCGGTCACTAAATACAACGTTCACTAAACACCTTGAACAGACTTCGTTCAAAATGCAGTTCTCTGTCGCTCTTACCGCCATCCTCTCGGCAATCGCCGTTCCTGTTGTTCTTGCTTCTGAGGTAGGTTCGCTATCACTCGCATATCACATCGAAGTAACTAACATGTTTGATAGTGTAAAGTTGGATTTAACAACCCCCGAACAGACTGCTGCTGGGGAAAGGGTCAAAAGTCCTGCATGAACCAGAACGGCGACGCAGTTTGGTGCGCAAGTAATTCTGCCAACTTCTGCTACAACGTCAAGCGTCAGGGTACTGATATTCCCGTCTCTGACACATGCGTAAGTCTTAAAAGCCATATCTAACGAAGTCACCGTAACTAAACTACCCCATAGGACGCTGATTGCTGCGATACAAAGACCGGCTGGGGTATTGGATGCCCCAAATAAGCCAAGGCTTTTGAAAAATGATGTAGAATAAATTTGGTCTCAACGTTCAATATGCAAACATGTGTTGGTTTTCTTTCAAAAGTTCGAGTTGCCATTTGGTCTTATTATCGAGATCTCAAATTCCTATTTACATGTTTTCAGCCATCTTCCAATCCAAAAAAGCCTTCTATGTGACGTTGATGAAATTGCAATATATCTCAGAAACCACCGAGAGATCAGAATCATCATCTCAAAGTCAACTAAGCATCGACCATGTATTCTGACTGGTGGATGGAGAAATTATTTGGTTGCATCTGCGGTTCTGTCCGACTACTTGGCGTGTAAAGGACGTTGTGCGTCCAGACCCTATCCCACTAGTTGAGTCTTTTGCGTCCGTCACATCAAGTGTCAAATCACGGCTCCAACACACGCTTACGAATTATGTTGCCTGGGTCCTTAGCAGGAACGTACTTCGGCTCTTGGTTGTGTCGAAAATGGACACTACCGTAGCGCATGAGCTCTGCAAATGTTCCTGTCTCACGATCCTTATCTTCGTTCTCCTTCATGTCCCACAAGGCCCCGAGTGCCTTTGTGGATGTCATGCCTCCTGCGCGTGTGACCTTCTGCATTGTGGAAGAGGTCATCAAATACCAAACCGTCTTGTAAGCCTTCTTGTAAGCCTCAGACTCGGGGTCAGCATCAAGTTTCGTATTCAAGAGGTCGAACAGCTCTTCGCCATTCCATCCAATCAAGGCCTCGGCAGGCCAAGTCTCCCACAGCGCATCGAAGAGAAGCACTTTGGTGCCGTAGTACTCCGCGCCATCGAAGCCGCCGTTTGGCTCCTGCAAGACGCTGATTCGCATCCAGCACATAATCTGTGCGACATACTCCAGTACCTGTGGTATCGGGATTTCCCAATTCCAAGCGAACCCTCTAGCGTCAAACTCCACCATGTCAATGTCTTTAGCATGGGCCATCAGAGGGTGCGTGTAGAGACCCTCAGCACTGGTTCGATCCTTCCACAGAGTCATGAAGAGATTATGCCTATTAGTGTAAGCTGCAGGTTCATGACACAAGGGGGAAAGGTCACGAACTTACCAATGCTTGATGAAGGGATCGCCTTTCCGACTAGCGATGAAGTGGTTCGCCACACCCCTTGAATACATCCACGGTGCTGAGACTTGATATGGCGTGTTTGGGTCCTCCAACTTGTTCCAGCAGAGGTCATCGATCGAGCGGAACAGAATTGAGCCGACATCCATCCAAACACCGCCGTACTGATAGAGGCATATTCCTCGGAGGAAGTCCGCGCTATGAGGGCCAGTGTATCCCAGAGGGCCATCCATTGTGTTGGTTGTGAAGGCTTTAGGAAGGTCTTCTTCTTTAACCCAGTTCATAGCATTGCTCGGGGAATCGCTGACGACATCGAGCACACGGATAGTCCATGAGGGACCGCAGATACGGGACCAGTCAATGACATTACGCTGACACCAGGCGGGCATCTGGTGCAGCCCGGCATGCCAAAATGCCCAGATGTTCTTTTCTGATGTCACCGGAGGGGGACTTTCGAGAACCTTGAGGATTTCGTCGTCTGACCGGGAATCAAGAGGTTCAACATAGCGAACCTTGTCCTGGAACTCGGCAGGGATTTCGAAGCGGGGAGGCAGGGATTTCGAAGCGGGGAGGCGCCATTTTGATGAAAAGTAGCCTCAACAGTGTGATATCGTACGTTAGTGGCACAGCAAGCTCAACAAAAATTTGAGGAGATAAATCTGAGCTTATTTGTACCCACGGTTCGACCCCGGGGCGAGTGTCGAAAGCATGTTGATACCCATCAACTTGGCGATCATAAAAACTACTACCTAGCGCTTATGCCCACCCGTTAGCTTGTGCCACAAGCTGACTGCAGTAAGGGGGGGTTACCCAGGAGTATGCATCCGCGACGCTCAGAAGTTCCTTACCGGTGGAGTACAAGTGTCGAGCGCTCCAGAGTCTAATGGCCCTAGCCGAATGGACTTATGGGATGACGTGATATTCTGAGCCAAGCCGGACCATGAGGTTGCACTGCATTGATTGCAGGAGCTTCACCCCCACTGCAAGTCAGGAAGGATTCGCCGTGTTCACGTCAACCAGAATTGATGCCACCTGCCTCTGCCACCTAGTATGGAACTTCGGTCCTCATCAATCAGTGCGGTTTATCGAATCATTCGGGCACAGACATTCCAAAATTTGTGTTCATATGTTGATATTCTCTACACCTAAGCAGCATAGGGCTCATTCAGGTATCTAACACCGAGCCTTTTGGATCGGAAGTTGGATGTGTCATGGATTAGATATTGAAATTAAATCGCAACGATGAAGTTGAGTAGCTGTTATTATGCTCCTCCCCACCCTTGTTCGAGCACATCCTTGGCCTTCAATACCTTGATCTCCGGGAATTCATCGTTCAGGGTGCGGCTGGGTCTGAGATCAGCCTGTCCTCGCTCGCAATTAAGCCCGAATGGGGCAAGAAAACTGTGCAGCATCTCTTTCGGATAAATCTGATAGAATTGACGATGAGATGGCAGTTCGGTCAGCTTGCACGCCTGAAGGTTCTCAATTGAATCATGCGCCACCGTAAACTTGGCACCTGAACGAGCAGTCAGAAATTGGCCAAGGAGGGAGCCCTCAGAGTACTTACTTTTGACTTTCTCGGCCAAGCGCACCATCTCGTGGAAGGTGACTTTGTCACCAATAATGTACGTCTCCTCGGGCCATTTGCTCTTTTCGAGCAATGCAGCAACCAGACGCGCAACGTCGAAGCTGTGCGTGAACACAACGGGCACCTCCCCAGATCCGGGAATTGCTGCCACATTGTTCGCGACGTCCACGAAAAAGGATACATCGTCCATGTAACTCTTCACCTTCGGAGTCCCGAAGTAGTCGAGGAAGTAACCATTGTAGACAGCTGTCCACTCGAGCGACGTTGACTTCAGCGCTGCCAAGGCCGACTTCTTGGCCATTGCGGGAGGGAATGTCTCATATTGCCTGATCAGAAACTCCCGCGTCAGCCCAATCACGTCTCCGAGCGCATATGGAGAGGAGGCTCACTCCGGCGAATACGGCACACCAAAATAACTCGGAATAAACCGCTTGGTGGCACTCGACCTTTCAGCTGCTCTGATGAGATTTATCTCGGCGTCATTTTCTCCCGTGATGTTGTTGACGGCAGAAATGACAATTTCAACGCTGTTTTCTTGGAGAACGCTCACAAGAGAATCGATGCTGGCGTAATCGACGGCGACAAATCGAACGCCATTTGGACCAGCGGGGCTCCCAGAGACCTGTCTCCATGTTATCATGTATTGCAAAGAGTATTAAGCCGAGACTAGTACCTTTCTTGTTAAGACGACGACTTGGTACTTGCCTCGAGCCTGTATGGCTTCAACAAGGGCGCGCCCGAGACCTCCAGTACCACCTGCGATAGCAACAGACATATTGAGGTGAGTTTAAAGATGATGGAGCAGTGAGTTGAGAGGCACAAGTCTGAAATGAAGTATCAAAGCATGGGTTTATATAGAGATTCACTTGGTAAGTTGCGCATGCCATCTGGATTTGGAGTTGGACTGGGACTAAACATTTCCGGCTGTCTCCAATGTACCGATTATCTCCAAAGTCCGGTCAAAAACAGTTCCCTGAGAGGTGGTTGTCTCAAAGCCGTTACTGCCGGGCTCGGACAACTAACATTAGGTTTCGGAGCGTTCGGGGACCGAGACCCAGACCGGCTCCGCTTGGGTCGGCCCTCCGTGCGGAAACGTTTCATGGATCAACCATCACAGCAGCAGCATAACTCGAGTTTCTACTACAACTACTTACTGTTAGCACCAGCTGGGCATTTTTGTCATGTGTAGGTCATGGAGATACCGAATATTTAGGATGCATTCAAGAGCTTGCGGCGGTGGGTTTTTGCACACAAGCCTATCTTTTGCAAAAAGGAAATGAGGTCAAATGTCTTGCTTCTCTTATGCTGAGAAGGTACATAGTCAGAATAAACCCATCATGTGTTGCCCCCCAAACATTGCCTGTATTCGTTCACCGGAAATGTCCGCAGTCCCGTATTCATCCTCCGCCGCAAAGAGCACATTTCCTGCAAAGTACTGATGAAGCCCATTGGAGAAGATCGAATGTTCTGGTGTGAAGGAACCCCTATTTACAGCTTCGAATTGGCTGATTGCAGACCTATGAAGCTCTTTACTGCGCTCGCAGAATTCTTTTGCAGAAGCCGACAAGTTGGCTGTAACCTCAAGCTCTTCGGCAAATTCCCGAAGTCGCTGTAAATCATCAGAGTCGCCTTGGCTGACCACATTACAATACAACACAAGGACAGGCACGAAAGGTACGTGCAGAACTCTCCTATGCAGTAAAATGAGTATGGCCCATGAATATTCGATACCCAGAGCCACCCACCAGTGTATGTAAATATTCATGATATGCCGGTCTCCGTTCAAGATCGACATGCATTCATGATGTGCGTGGATTGCAGCCCGGGCATAGTCCAAACACTGTGGCGAAAGAGTTGGAGGCGTGGTTCGCATCACCTTCGCCCGAGATATCAGAGTTGCTGTAGTATAGTACAGAACCTTTTGCGACACTGCAAGAACGCTTTCCAGTCTGTCCAGCTTTCCGGTATTATTTCCCTATATTGTGCGATTAACCATCATTCTTGACCCGTGGGTTGGGAATGTGCCATATACGTGCAGCCTTCTTCCCCTACTGTGAAAACCCCTACTGGATGGGCTCAAAACTTCCTCAACATACGTGCAGCCTTCACGTACCTTGTCATAGGGTTCAACGTCTTTGAGTTCTGCGAGAAGGCGATCTGCCGCTCTCACTATGTCTTCATCGGAGCAAGTCGCAGCTGCTCGACTGTACAGGGCTTCATACAGCCTGTCGTGCATCGTCGCATTCCAGACCCAGAACGGGAGCATTGATTTCCATGGCCGTGACAATGAGAGACAGCTCATGTCTTTAGGTAGGGTGATGTCGCATACTCGTATAATTGACGCTCGTCCCAATCTCAATGCCAGACCCTTCTCCACGGCGTATACATACCAAAACAAGAGCATCTTGGCTTTCTTGATTTTTACGTCGTCACTTTCCATGAATGCCTCCTCGTGAAAACCTGCGGCGATGGCGAGTTGTGCCGCAAAAGAAATGAGGCGCCAGGCAAGCCAGGGCTTAGCAAGTTCGATGGCGTGAGAGGCCTATGATTGTCAGCAGTGCGGCGGAGATGACCAAAGAAGGGTAGGCTTACACCTAGTACAAGTGCCTGGATGCTTTTGATGTGAGCAGGCAAGCAAACGGTCAAGCTCCCGACTGCTTGCATCATGGCATCTCTGCACAACCTGCCCCATACGAAATACTGCTTGCGGAGGTCTTCGTTGTCAGTGGGGCAAAAGTGCTCGGTGAACAAGTAATATAATCCCGAGTTGGCTATAATGAAGTCTGTGTCGGCATACTCATCAATTGAGAAGTAGACATCACGGCACAGTTCGATGTAGGCCGGTACGGGCATAAGACACCGCAGTATAGGAAAGCTACTAGGCGGAGACTCTGTTGGTAGTTGTGATTTCGTCAGGGATGCAATTTAGGATATTGCTATAGGGGTACGGTACCTTTCAACATCTTGAGAATGTTGATCACAGCAGCCGTCGGTGGCAGCGGCAATTCGCGGTATGATTGAGTACCAGAGCGAGGGTTGTTAGCGTGCAACTGGGGTTGCGATGGAATGACTCGGTCGCTGCATCGGGGTGCAGGGGGTGTCGATAAGCTACGATCTCCAGCAGACTCCGCATATCTTCTAGCCACCTCGACTTGACTCCGAAAAGACGAAGAACCTTCAACCGATGACTGTGTGTCTAGATCCTCGAGTGCAGCGATGCTAGACTCTCCAGGTATACTCACCCCTGTGTCCGTTGAGCGACAGTCACACGGGCGGTGTCGCAGCAGCGCCTCGATGTTTCCGAGTCTTTTTTCTATGAGATCGATCTTCTGTTCACTAGCGCAAGATGTCAACGAAACGCTCATCACAGCATGCTGTGTTGAGCCCCCTACTATTGTGTTGAGATGGGAACTCTCTGTCTCGGAACCTTCGGCCTCTGTCCAATACCTGAAAAGCTGCAATCCTGGGATGAGGACCTGCAGTTCGAGCATGGGAAGACTTTGTCGCAGCGGACCTGAAAATTGCTTCAGCGGACTGTCGCACTACAGAGCGTGGAGGGTCTCGCCAGGAGCTCGCATTACCTTGCGCAGCCGACACAAGTCGCACTATGAAGCTAACCGTTAATGACACGTTCTGATGCAGGTGGGTCAGGTCTCAGAACTCCGACTTACAGCTGTTATGCGGGAAGAATCCATCGAAGATCCAATTGTTTCACAGACGCCGTTGTTGGTAGGTAAAGATGAAAGATTTGGTTCCTCGGAGCCCTCGGTCGTCCTAGGCGGTGTTCGAAAAATCGGACGCCGGGGACCATTTATATCGGCCGCCGAGGGCACCGAGCAGGGGCCACCGCAAAAGTCCGTCTCCGCCCCTGTCAACATGCAAAATACCGAAACATCACGGACTACTCCGTCAGCCGGGGCTCGGAGTGGACCCGGAGTTAAGCATATCTCTCAGTCTAACGAGTTGTTTTGTGGTTGCAAACCTTGTACACTCGTTTCGTTAAAGAACAGTGGATGAGATACTATGAAACAGCTCTGGCCACTGCGCGCGCGAGTTTTTTAAATATAAAGTCTGATGAGCGCAACGACATAGCCCGGCGCGACATGTTTGACCAGCATCAGAAAGCCGCAGCATCATCTACAAATTTTTACTTTCTGCCCGTTATACAAATTTAGTTGAAGTATTTCATCTTTTTCTATAACCCGAATCTTTGCGCCCAAAATGGTCTCCTCCAACATGCTTGACCTGCCTCAAACGGCTCTCCCAATTGGGAGCTTGGTCGTAGTCTCTGGCGCTAGCGGTTGCATGGGCAGCCACATTTGCGATCAACTTCTCGGACTAGGCTTTAGAGTCAGAGGCATTTCCCGGAACGTGAAAACGTCTGGATGGATCGAGACTATGTTCACGAAGACGTATGGCCCCGGCAAGTTCGAGCTTATCGAAGTTCCCGACTTCAGTGCCCCGGGGGCTTTCAATGCCGCTGTTAAAGGTAGTTGTATCCGTAACCTTCAAAAACCAGAGAATGTGGCTAAAGCCTCCACCTTTAGGTGCCCATGGAGTTGTTCATACGGCAGCCGACACAAGCCTTGACTTGAACCCTGATAACGTCGTTTCCCCCATGGTATCCGCCGCCATCGGCATAGCTGAGGCGGCAGCTTCTGCGCCTTCTTGCAGCAGGCTTGTTTACACTTCATCGTCGAGTGCAGTGGCCGATCCCGCCCCAGGCATCGTTCGAAAAATCACCAATGAAACGTATAATGAAGAAACGGTTATCGCTGGCTACTCGCCCGATCTCCGCCAAGATCTTGTTGGGGGTCATACTGTCTATGCTGCTGGAAAGGTCAAGACAGAGCAGGCACTGTGGAAGTGGTATCACTCGAGGGCTCCTAGCTTGGTTATGAACACAGGTATGAACTTTGAACGTTTAGGCGTCTGGCCTTCCATACTAACCTTTTTCCAGTCATCCCAAGCCCTTGCTACGGCGAAGTTCTTTATCCTAAAAGCCAGGGCTTCACTGCTGCAATGGGGGTTTTAAAGATGCTATGGGACGGGGATGGCTCCGAGGAGATTGTGAAGATGTTTGAGTCACGTAAGTGATTTCACAGAATTCCCAATTTCCCCGATCTCCACTGACAGTGAATCAGAGTGGTTCTGCGATGTGAAGGACGTGGCCAGCCTCCACGTCGGAGCCTTACTGCTACCCCAAGTTAAATCTGAGAGGCTGTTTGCGTACGCTGGGAGATACACGATCAACGACTTCTTGCGAATTTTCAAGACCGCCTATCCTTTGCGGGAGTTTCCGGAGGAGGCGGAGAACATACTTGAAGATGCGACAGAGGTTCCAAATGAGAGGTCAACTGAAGTGCTGAAGCTGTTGGGTCTCAAGGGTTGGAAAAGCCTGGAGGAGTGCCTTGAGCCTGTGACTAAGCAGTTTGTTGACGCATCTGGTTGAGCAACATCACTTCCTTACCTAGTCTTTTGCTCATTGCTTGATAAATATCATCTTCCTCGAGTGAGGCGTTTATGCTAAGGCCAAGAATCTTTCAGTAACAGAAGAGGTGTCTGAAGTGAGCAGAATATTTGGCGCTGAGAACCTCAATTCAAGCCCCTCAATTTGAATTGAGAATATCGTCGTAATCGCATGTGTTGAAAAGCTCTCGGTGTTGATCTATAGCTGCTCACCAAAATATAAGTGTTATTATGCCTTTCTTACATATAGTGGCGCAGTACTTGCAGCCAGATCATGTCCAACAACGTACAACTACCACAGTTGCAAGCGGCGAACATTTCCTCGGCCCTCCCGTGCCGAGAAACTGTCGCATTTTCTCGTTTGCTGACAGCTCCAACAACTCACGTAAAATAAGCTCAGATAGCTTGGGACTGACATCACCCAAGAAAAGCCAATGACGTCCCGCCACGGGACCGCGGCATGTTCATTAGGACTCCGCAGGCTTGGTAGCGTTGCGCTAAGGTGCTCAACCAACCTTCCCAGCCCAACAGCCGCCAAACTCTCCACCGAGCAGGCAGCGAAATTCACTGAATCGGGGGCCACAAGGGCCACCGTTGTTAGGTTAAATTCAGCAGTGGGGGCGCGTAAAAGCAGATTGGGCAGGGGATCTGCCGTTGATCTGGAGGCTATGCCGTCTTAGGCACACCACCAACACGGCGCTTGCTGTCAGCCGAGATCCCTGGCGCGCAGGGGGTTGATTTTGTGTTCACAAGCTAAAGGCACTGCAGAAGGTTACATTGAGGGGCCGTGTGCCTGGCTGCCTAGCGAAGAGCCCACCGCGACTGGAGCAAACCTTTAAGCTTGCTTCTCCTAGGGCTGGCTGTGTGAGACATGGGGGCGTGTTGGACAAATGGGCTGCAAGGAGGACACGGGGGCTGAGTGTCTTGTTCAATCAAGAGAAGCAAAATTTCAGCCAGCCGCCGTGGCGTGAGGCACAGCGCAAGGAGAACCATGGGTAACGATCCTTTAGATTAGCTCGTACTTAAAGTGCGCCACGGCCGCCCTCCTCTGCCGCTGTTTGGCAGGACACAGTTATTGAATTTGAAGTCTACATCGTCAATTCTTCAACCTCTCAATCATCAAACGGGATATTGCGGACGCACCACAGACAAACATGTCGCAAAAGTACACGGTCGGCGATGGCTCGCCATTCTTGAAGAGGGTCGTCATCCCCTTCTACATCATTCGCATCGCGGTGATGCTTCTCCAAATCGTCCTCTACGGCATCACGATCGGATACGCGTCCTCCAACAGGAGCGAGCTTAACGACATCGGCGGCACAACCAAGACAGCGAGCTGGGTCATTGCCATCCTGGTAGTCGTGATGATCATCATCATTGGCTGTTTGCTCCTCGACCTCGTCTGCATCATCAAGCGATCGCGCAGGACACTTACGCCTCGGTTTTTCCTCATCTGCAACTGGTTTGTGCCTTCCCATCTACCTTGACACGCGACAGCGATTTCTAGCAGCATGCTGACATCCGCGCTTGGTAGCATTCAAACGGCTGTTTGGACCATTCTTTTCGCGCTTACGGTCGCCGGCTCGGAGGGAAGAGCCATCACTGTGGTCATCAACATCATCATCTAGTAAGTGCATAACCCAAGCCTTCGGGGTTTGCTTTGCGACTTTGCCTGACCATCTTGATAGCGCCTCGTTTATCGGGCTTCTTATCTACGCCTCCGTCATCTACCACAAGCACCGCAAGGGCACCCTGGGCGGCGCCTACGCGCCCGCGAACCAGAACCAGCCGACCACTTACAACGGATACGCCAACGAGCAACAGCCGAAGCCGTATAGCTCCCAGCCGTACGAGATGGATAACCGCTACGCTTAAACGATGATCAAGAGATGGATCGGAATACGAAGGATTATGAGTGACGGTTCTTTGTGCTTTTACGATGGAGAGGACACATGTCATGAGATGCTGCTTTGGCACGAGCTTGCGCGACTGCTTTGATTTGATTGCACCCCAAAGATACCATTTGATTCAATTAAAAACTCAATTCAACCATTAGAACCGTGTTCACGTGGCGCCCTGAATGATCCTTGGCCAATTGATTGCGCGAACAATGGACCGACGCGATGTGACCTGCGCTCACGTACTCCAGCCAATGAAGATGCCCTTCACTGCAGGATCCGAAAACATCCACTCCCGTGTCGATCGAAGGATTTCAGCTGACAGCAAACAGAGCTTGGCACGGGAAATGAGCCACTTCGCGCTAAGCTGACTGCAGGATTTTGTCTCCCACAAGAATGGGTACTTTGCGTGGCTTTTTGTGTTCGTGACTTGCTTCAATCTCTTTGGAAGAAAAAAAAAACCGTTTTCAAATTCTTCCCCTTTATCGCAACGACCCTTAACGTCGCAACCGGCGCTACACCCAACCGAAGGCCACGAAAGAGAAGTCGGAATATTTTTGCCTACCCCGGCCCGGCCCCGGCGAAGGTGGATCTTCCGGTTGCGGGTTCAATAGTGGAACTCTTCGGTGCCCGTCCGGGAACTTACGGCATAATCAAGTGTACATGAGACGATAACACAAATCCATTGGCTGTAGCAACGTGCATAAGACATCAAAAGGTGAGCATAATAGATGATGAGCGTGAACGGGTATGCTAAGCATACCATAATTGACTGATGAAATAATATTACTCACTTGGCCGAAGAAAGCCCCGAACTCCTATACCACCGGAAACAGATTTCCCTGAGGCGAAGCTCTAACTTCGCTGTCTATGCCCGAGTGCCCATAACCCTAAAAATGCTATAATCCTGTAAATAGTTCCAATTGCCACGAGAGTTCCCATGTTTCTCCAAAGCCAATGCAAATGGAATCCAGTGGCATCAGCCGCCTTGTCAACGTCAAAAATATCCGCAAACGGCGACACAAGCTGGCCAAAGTAAACCTCCGCCAACCATACACCAGGAGACGCACGCCACAGCCACTCGAGCTTCCACTCCTTCACCTTCGCCAGCGGCGGCGCGGCCCCAGACAGGATCGCCGTGATGAGGCTGATCATCGTCGCTAGCAGAGGCGCGTCCTCGCGGCGGACGACCATGCTTACGATGTTCGCCAGGCCGTAGATGCAGTAGAAGTAGAGGAAGTTGGCCAGGAAGGCGAGGCCCCAGTTGATCACCGGCACCGTGAGGAGCAGCACGAAGGTCGAGAAGTGCAGGCACCCGAAGAACATGCGCGGCACCACGGAGATGAGCTTGGCGAGAAAGTAGGCAAGGCGGTTGTGCCCAGCCTCGGCCTCGCGGCGGTGGACCAGCAGCTCTTCCGAAAAGGACTTGACGCCCGGCGCACCGGAGACCAACCCAATGGCGATTGCGACGAGGAGGGCTAGCTCGGGCGCGGATTTGATGTCAACGGCGGTCGACAGGATCGAGTATGGTCCTTGGAATGTGCCGACGAATAAGATGCCCTTCTTGGAGTGCTCAGCCAAGCCAAGGAGAAAGCCGGCAAGAGCGGCTAAACCCATCTCTGCCCAGAAGGCTGACTTGGCGCGGTACTGCTGGACCATTGCGCGGCGCAGACAAAGCCAGAGCTGTTTGAAGAAGGGTGCACCGCGGTGCTTGATGGCTTCGTGCATGCCGCTGTTGTTCATCATCGTGGAGGTGTGGTGTTCCTTTCCGCCCGGCCGATTCATTTGGTGATGGGACGCCCAGTTTGAGATCAGAGAGTCTTTGGAGATCTCGCCAATGTGTTTGTAAATTCGGCCGTTGCCCGTGATGATATCCGTCACGACGTCGCCGTGGTTGCTGTGCTCGGGGAAGTCGAAACCGATGTTTTGGAAGTAGTTCTGCACCTCGGCCTGAGGGCCCTCGTAGATGGTCTGCCCATTTCCGAGGAGAATGAGGTTATCGAAAAGTTGGAAGATTTCTGAGCGAGGCTGATGAATGATTACGATGATGCTGATACCCAGGCGGGCGACGGCCTTCAGTGTTCGCATCAGGGACGACGCTGCCGTTGCGTCCAAACCGCTCGTAGGCTCGTCGAGGAAAATGGCCATGGGGGCAGACGCCAATTCCATGCCGATGCTTACTCGTTTCCGCTGTCCTCCACTGATGACCGGTCTTCCGACCGTCCCCACCAGAGAGTTGCGGACATGGGAGAGTTCCAGGCAGTCGATGACTGACGTGACGTGAGCCTCGATGTCGTCAGCCGACCAAGTCCTGGGAAGTCGGATCTTGGCTGAGTGGATGATGTTCTCGTAGACTGTGAGTTCGGGCAGGACAATATCGTCTTGAGGGACGTATCCAATAAGTTTCTTGTACCGCTTCAGCTTATCAGGACTGTTGTTGACCGCAACCATCCCGCCAGTGTGCTTCGTCTTGCCCATAAGCACATTGACAAACGTCGATTTGCCAGCACCCGAGCCGCCCATGACAGCCGTCAGAGTTCCCCGGTCGATCGACCCCGTGACGTTCTGCAGAATCATCTTCTTGCTCTTCTTCGGCTGGAAGCTGAGATCTGTGTAGCTGAAAGACAGACCGAGGTTGGTTGCATCAGTGGCCCGGCGCATGGACTCGACGAATTTGATAAGCTGGGGGTTGACCTCTTCCTTGGGCTGCGCCCCCGCCGTCCACTGGTGGTGGTCGTACTCCAGGGCGGCTTGGAAGCCTGTGCCGTGGGTATCTGTCCGGTTCGGGGTGTACGTCGCGCTCATGGGAAGCATCTCGTGGTCGGTGTCGTGCTGCAAGGCCTTGTATCCCGTAATCTGCGCCTTCACGCCGCTTATTGAGGGGCGCTTCATGTTCGACGCATGATCAGACCGGTAATCCTTCACCCTCTTGCGCAACGCGTGGACGATGATGCCCATGATTACCAAGACGTCGACGAGGATGAGCACAACCAGGGGAACAAGGAACAGCTCGTATGTCGCACCCGGTTCGCAGCGGCTGCCGGTGAGGCATGGCGTCGGGCTGGTGGCGCCCGGTTGGCAGTACGTGCCCTTTGGGCATTGGATCTTTTCTACTCCGGGCGGAGGACAGTAGTATCCCTGCTGGCAGACGACCGGCTCGAATGGACCCATGGGAAAGTTTTGCCCGTTCACCATGCACGTCATCGAGGCGAGTCTTGCCATCTGACATTGGTCGGCGGGAGGGCAGTATTGGGGCAACGAATTGACGGTGTTATTCTCGCCTGTGGTCGTCAGTGGGCATATTCTCCGTATTCAACTCTGATGAACACTTACACAAAAACCCCGGGGCGCACCCGTTGGCGTTCCAGTCGTCGGCTTCCACGATCCGAATGGGGACGGCTTGGCCATCGGGCCTGTAACACGGTGCCGCGCTTTTCGGTTGCTGGTTGTTCTGGATCTCATTCCATGCCGCGTAGAACGTTGTTGAAAAAGAAGGCCGGTTCGTTCCAGTACAGGCTTGATCGTATACACTCAACCCATCGTCATTGGTCAAGTCCGTCAACGACCCAGAGCTCAGTCGCATCGGCTTGCTGGTGTCCGGGCCATTTGACAAGTCGTCAACCTTGCCGTCGACAGCGTTGCCCCCATTAACCGTCGGGAACCATTTCCCACTATTGGTCGTATACACTCCTTGCGTTTGGTTACCGATGCAGTGCCAAGCCGCGTCTGAGTTGCTGTCGCCCGTTGTGCGCAGTGCACAGAGACATGCCGCCGTGTCGAGGAAACTCGGCCCTTCGGGGTCCACCTGCGGGAGGTAAGGGTCTTGGGGTAGATGACCCGCGGCGCCGAGAGAGAGAAAGTCACGGCTCATGTTGGGAGAATTCGTCGTCCGCGGTCCAGATCACAGCTGTCTCTCTTCTTTGGGAGAAATTCCTCCGACAGCAGAGTGCTGGTCTTTAAACAGCTCCATGGACGGGACTCACAGGCGCCGCTTTCAGGCCCTGCTTTTTCCCTATTCCGGAGTCGTGAGATTTTAGCGGGATGGACCCTCTTCTCATTTTCCTCAAGGGATCGGGGGGCTGAGCGATACATGCTATTTCCCAGCTAGGATAGCTTCGCACAACAACAGCTGAGCTGTGCACTTATCTGTCCCCCGGCGGTCTGCATGCTGACTACCGCGCCACGGAGCAACTTCTCACGCCTTGCAATTGTAAGACCTCTTCCGTCATGGCTGAAGTGGGCTCGTCTTGGGAAGAAGAACCCTGGCGATCTCTGTGTGGCCAGGGTGATTAGCGTCGGGAATTGAGGCCCACGCCACGCTGACATAAACCGGGATGTCACAAGAATGTAGAAGCCTAAATGGTGCGGAGCTTCGAGGACCCTTTTATATCGTTCATGGTAAGGTCTGGATCCTAAAACCCGATAGGGCTAAGTACGCACAAGCAGGGCTGACCGTGTATGCCAGTTCGGACGAACCGTTCTGCCTTAGAGGAATTGTTGGCGGAGCATCGGTCGTTATGGAAAACGAGCTAGGATAGTGAAAAGACGGCGCCGTTGTCGGCAATTTTTAATTAGCTGCCTTGAGGTGCCGTGAGCCGACGTCCCTCCCGACGCCTTACGGCAGACACCGTCACAACAACCGACAAATAGCTATTAAATCTTCTAGTGCGCAGTCTGGCGGTCGCCTTCTTTCTTCAAAGATCCATCCTAATCGGGACATGTCTAGTGAGATACTCCGACCATGTAGGCAGCGTGCGCTTGTACGGGTTTCCCTCAGTCGTGAGCTGCAGGTCCTCGATCGCGCTTCCCCATTTGACCAGCTCAGCTTCACCAAATGCCGTCTGCATAATTGCCAGCCCGAAACCCATGCCGCTGTTAGAGTGCACGCCGACCGGGAGGGTGATCATCGGGTAGCCTGCCTGTGCAGCGATCTGGTACGACTGGCCTACGTCGGGCGGGACGAGAAGCCCTGACAGTTTCGTCCCGTTGGTGGAAGTGAGAGCCGCGTCGATGCCATCTCTCGTGGATCTTTGCGTGAACTCTAATGCTTGGTTGTACGTCTCGTCCTTGATGCCCTTTGACTCGAGGGATGCAAGGAAGCCATCTTGACCAGAGTAGAATGCGGGATGGCCCAGTGGCCAGGGGTTTCCGCCCTCAGTCCCGTCGTTGTCGTAATTGAACTGAACGATGTCGTCGATGGAGCGGACATTGGTGTTCTCTAGCTCAGAGAGGTACGTGTTGATGTTATTGTAAAAGTCCACCTTGACCACGGTGTACTCAGACTCGTTTGCGTAGCCCCGGGTGGTTCCGTAGTCCCAGTTCCAACCGTCTGGACTCACAATGCGCTCATAGTCGGTGATTTCCGTGTTGTTGATTATCGTCGCTCCAGCGGAGGTCAAAAGATCAAGCATGGCTAAGAGAATGCCTCTTTGCTCGTCATCGGTGTAGACCCAGAAACTGTTCCACGGTATGCCAAATATAGCGCCCTTCAAGCTCTGTTTCGTAGACAGGAACTGGGTGTATCCCTTTTCGGGTGTTCTCCCTTCCTGGGCGAACGTGTAGTTATCGCGCTGGTCCACGCCATAGATAGAATCAAAGGCATACACCGCGTCCTTGACTGTTCGGCCAAACGTTCCAACGGTATCTTGGTGCTCGCTCTCAGGTACAACCCTGGTCAAGTTAGCACGCTGACAATGCTCACGTTTAGGGTCGCGATGCTTCCTACCCAGCCCTCGAGGTAAGGCCCACAGTCGGCTTAAACCCAACAACACAGTTCCGCATAGCAGGATTGATCACGCTCCCGTCCGTCTCCGTGCCAAGCGAGAACGCAATCGCGTTCGCAGCAACGCCCACCGCACTCCCCGTGCTGCTGCCCCCAGGCGTGAGAGTCAGGTTATACGGGCTTCGGCACTGCCCTCCGCGCGCGGAGTACCCCTCGGAGTAATTGTTGCTGCGCATATCAGCCCACTCGCTGAGCGCCGCTTTGCCGAGCAGGACCGCGCCTGCGTCTCGCAGACGGGCCACCACGTGGGCGTCGCGTGGGACGATACTCCCAATCAGAGCCCAGCTGCCGGCCGTGGTCTCCATGCTGTCCTTGGTTGCGATGTTGTCTTTGACTGTGAAGGGGATCCCGTGAAGTGGGCCTCGGGCTTTCCCTGCCTTTCTTTCGGCGTCCATCTGAGCTGCGATTTGGAAGACATCTGGGTTGATTTGGAGGATTGAACTGCGTTTCGTTAACATACAAAATTAGAAAAGCTGGGTGTTGGCGCATCTTACTGCACATATTCCTGTGTCTGGTACGTCCGCTGCAGGTAGCACGCTACCAGCTGCTGCGAGGTTACCGTGCCAGCCTCCATAGCCGTTTTCATCTGGTCAATTGTGGCCTCATGCAGGATGAAGTTTCCGCATGGCGGCATGGGAAAGAGATCCGCGGTGCCGGCATTTCCGAGCAAAGGGAACACTGAAGGGGACTTTATGCTGGAGTTTCTGGGCCACGCATAGTCCGCGCCACAGACCAGCGAAGCTTGAAAGGCCGCTAAGACGGTAGCAGACCAACGCATCTTGATTCTCTCGGTCAGACCGGACGTAGTGACGATATTCCGCCTCGGTGTAGGCGGTCATCAAAAAAGAGTGAGCTGAAAAAGGGAAGACACCGCTCCTTTGAAAACTCACGCGTCAGCTGATAAGCACAGCACGAGGTTCCCCGCGGTGAGCTGCAGATGCGGTACATGTTAGATTGCAGCGGGACCTCGATTTCCAGCTTTTGTGGAGTTGGTTGGCTGCTGCTTTCCGGGGCGACCCGCCGGCAGTGGAGGGTTGCAGAATGTCTTATCAGTGATTGCTGCTTGCCTTGAAGGGGAAATTTCGGCACTAGGCGAGTGCAAATAGGAAAAAACAAGAATCAAGATGTATCTAGTCATAGGCATATACATCATGGGGAAACAAATATAAGCTACAATTATAAAAATATGAGAACTCATCCTATGCGAGTCTACTACCGACATGGAGGCATTCAGCGTTCATGGGTCAGCTACCACCACCAGGACGGTTGCACTAAGCTCGAATAACCTGATTTCAGTAGGAAAGTGAGACGAAAGCTGGAGTTCTAATCCCTTTAAAGCCACTCATTGGGTGCTGTCTGGGGCGGGCTGGGGATTCTGGGTCTTTGGAGCTGAAATTAGGGCCAACGCAGCGACAGGGAGTTGACAACCTTACACAACAAGCTGCCCTGTCAGACAGCAGTAAACCAGCCAATGAAGTTACACAGAAGTTCTGCTCAGTGAAGTCCAGCTTCAACTCGGGCAAATGGCGCCACACGCGCTAAAGAAGTCGCGTATTCGTTTATTTCTTGGCTTGCTGATGGTGCTCTGCTGTGCCGCCTTGAAGGCCTCAATTGGGATGCGTCAATCATTTCAAAATATATCAGCGAGAAGTGTCTCAGGATTTTCCTTTCTCATGTCTTAAATATCTGTCCTGACGCCATCTGAAACACATATCCTATATCCTCCTTCAGCATCATCGCACCAACATCATCCCCCAGGGTGAAGAACAACACTAGGCAGCCGTTATGATACAACCTATTGAAACTCGAGAAGGCCCAGACCTTTCCATTCACCTGCTCGATCCCTCCGCGCCGCTGTACCCCGGCTCCGTCATCCGCGGCCACGTTACCCGTAAATCACACATCGTCGCCGCCTCCGCCACCGTCCGCATATGTCTCATTGGCGACTCCGCCGCCCGGCTTCAAGTACAACAAGGCAGATCGGTGGTCATGCTCGGCGCGGGCTTCGAGTTCTGGAGCCGCAACGCCGTGTCCCAAGTCATCCACCGGGGCCCGGTGCACATCGCACCAGACTCCAACACCGCGTCGCAGACTTGGCCTTTTACGCTGGTGATACCGAAGCACACGGATGGCAAAGCCCTGAATTCAGGGCTAAGAAAGATTGAACGGGAGGCGAGCTATGTCCGCGCACCGGGGGCCCCGAACGGCAAGCAGCCCCTGCCGGAGCAGCCTCTGCCGCCGACATGGGGTATGAATGTCTGTGATGGTTACGGGTTCGTGGAGTACTACCTGGAGGCGGAGATACTGGTCGAGGGGAAGAAGATGGAGCCCATCGAGGCGACGCTGCCGGTGCGGGTGTTGTCGCGGCCAGCGCCGGCGTTGATTGCGGATTATGAACTGCAGGGCACGACGACGGAAGGGTGCGTGACGAGCCATCGGCTCGCGCCGGGGATGGAGCACGCGGAGCTGACGTTCAATCAGAAGAGGCAGATGTTCCTCGGGTCGAAGAGGGTGCCGGCGTGGCATTTCAACCTGAGGGTGGAGTGTGCCTCCGTCATCCAACTTGGCAACCCTGCCTCGATCCCTTTCCGGCTGAAGGTCACCCCGGACTTTACGAAGAGCTCTCAGACTCTGCGAGATGTCCCGCAGAAGGTGTTTCTCACGAACGCGGTGATCAATCTGATTAGTATGGGGCGTGTGTCATGTCCGGGCTCAGGAGAAGTGCACGAAGTGACCCGCACCACGACGTTACCCCTCGGTCGAACTATCGCAAGTGAGACTGGGTCGCCTTTGATTCCATCAGCCGCAGGGGAGAGTGCGTTGGATCTGGGCGCGCTCTTGGATGCGTCTGCGGACCCGGAGCTGCACGAGCAAAGACGTCATTATCCATTGAAGCCGGACTATACGACGTACTGCTTTTCGCTTTCGCACACTTTGAAGTGGGAGTTGCACCTTGTCATCGCCGGGGAGTCGTGGGAGTGCAGCGGGTCTCAGAAGGTTGTCGTGCTGCCGGCGGTTGAGGGAGCGGCAGCTGCAAACGCTGGGGTCACGGAGGAGCCTCCGGCGTATGATGGGCCCAGCGGATCGGC